CATATGCAACATTATATGCGATGCTAATCATCAGGTACCCACGATCAGCTGTGATATGTAAAGTCTACGGGCTTTTGTATAAGTGTTATTATTGTGTACAACTTGTTGTGAAGTATTCAAGCACATCTCAAAACAGACCTGACCAAACACAATGATTGGTATTTTTGAATTCAGCATAAAATGGGAATCCATATATCACTTGATAAACCCTTGACATTTGAAAAAAAATTTAACGTAATCAGTTTGATAGACTCATATATAAGCTGGTAATAGTGCCTGGTATGGACTCATTCAACATTAATCAGAGCTTCATATTTCTAAAAAGGAAGTACACTTGTTCAATTAATGCAGATGTTGGATAAAAATAGACAGAGTGCTGTACAGTTCATAATAAATTCTTATATTGGTATATCAAATTGTTCAGAGAATCAGTATTAAATTCTGACCTTGTACAATCAATAAATTTTAAAATGTGGCTTGCGCAAAAACTGGCCACCCTTCAAATATTTTGAATAAAATCAATAGGCATCCAGAAGTTAGTCTGGCTAATATGCAAACTATGGAATCGGAATAAATTTGAGGGCTGCAAAATGCAAACAAGATATCTCTGCGAACTTCTGACTCTACAGAATGTATAATATCTCTGACTCTCATCTATAGATCCAATTTCACTGTCCCATCAGGCAAGAACCCCCTACTGACAGAAGATCTTTCTGTTAGCAACGGCACTGATTGGCACACGTTTCGTGACTTTCCTTCACGATGCCCATTGGAATTATATTTTTTATCATCCTGTTGAAAAAAATGTGCCACTGCGGTCTATTCAAGGGTGAAAGCCAGTATCGAAACTTTCGTGCCAAAGCAGAAATACCAAGTAAATCCACGATCTTCGCTTTGGTTCTTCCCTGCCTGTTCAACCGCTATAGCCCACAGGAATCACTTCTTCCGGCTATACTAAAGCGACAGGTCTGATTGTATTATACGCCTCTTTATCACTGCTTGTAATGAGTATAGACGTGTCCTCTAAGAGGTAAAGTTACTATTCACTGATAGAATGAGATACCGTATAGCCTCTCACAATCTTAGTTCCAGAGATTACTGGCTGCTTTGCAAGAAGGGAACTGAAAAAAAGCAAATCCTCAGCCCCTTGTCTACTGTAGATAAAGCAGAATCCTTTGCTCGGAAATGCTCTTCTAATGCTGCTCTCAACTAATCTGGAGTATCACTGCTCGATACCCCCTCCCTAGAACAGTTTCCACTGAGTGGGATGCACATAACTCCTCCCATGGTTTCTGATATCATTTCTTAACCTGATACCCTAAAGGGATGTGCTCTTGAACTGGCGCCAGTTTTTTCCAAAACTTTATAATAAATGCCTCACTGCTTCTTGCTATCCATCTTGTTAGAAGTTCTCCACTGTAGTTCCTTTTTTTTTAGAACTTCGAGTAACCTAGCCTCTCATAGTATCACCCTCTTAGTATCTTAGTTCTTTTTGACAAACTTCTAGAAGTTCTAATCAACACCGAATAGATTAAGCATCTTACTTCACACGGCCTTCTTTCGAACAAAAAAATATCGTTATCGTTTTGCCAGGTCTACCGCCGATGTGTTAACGACCATCACTGAATTTGTCTATAAAGCTTTAGATAAGAGCTGTGGCTCTAGATATCTCAAAGGTGTTCGGCGGGGTTAAATATTGGCCTTCTCCACAAGCTCAAGAGCTACGGTATCGCTGGACGAATATTTGGCTTAATCTTAACAAATTCCAAATTCCAAATCGTGTAATGAATACCATGTTGGACGGCACGCTTCTAGACCATTTCATATTAATACAGCGGTCTAGCCTTGGGCCTACACTCTTTCTGATATTCATCAACTACCTTCCTGGTGTCATCAATTTCTATGTATTTATGCATATGACACAGCTAGTTACTCTTGTGTTGGTAGCAAGTCCGGCAGACCAAACAAAGTAAAATTGACAACTACTTGACCTCAAATTAATTAATGGGAATGGTAATGACATGTAAATTTTAATGCCTCCAAAATAAAACAACTTTCATTTAATCACCGCCTTTTCTGCTTGCCATCTGCATGTCTGCATTCCACTTACATTAAGTGGGTTGGTTATATCGAATCAATAGCTGCTTCTACTGCTAGGAAAGTTGGTTCACTGTGTCGTGCAAGACATCTTTCCTTGTCAGAATCCACTGTGCACATTTATAAGACTACCATTCATTTGTGCATTGAATATTGCTGCCACATATGGTCTGATGCTCCTACCATATATTTCAAGATTCTTGATAAAATGCAAAGAAGAGTCTACAACAGTCGTTCCCGACCAATTGGGGGCCATGCCCCACTTTGGTATTTCTAAAATTCTGGGTACCCCCTGTAATATTTAATTCTTACATATTCAACATTTTACTCCAATTCACGTGAAGGAAGCTTAAAAGGCCATTAACTTGATCTATAAACAAGCCTCCAAATGCTATGGCGTCCATGAAAGAGAAAATTTTAAAAAAAAGCAGTTAAATATATATAGTTTCAAAACTTATAAAAGAGAACTGAAAGGCATAAATATAAAATATTTGAATGAAAGTTTATTCTGTAATATAATTTGATCTTTTTAATCATGAAATAATAATGCAAAATGAAATTTGAGCTCAGAAATTAGAAAACAACTCACTGTTAATAACTCATTCTCGAATTTCTCCCTTATTCTGTTGGTATAGTAACCCGAACGGTGCACATCCTACGCATGCCCACCAAAATATGAACATGCCCCACTGGTGGTGTATGCGCCTCACGTTGGGAGTCATTGGTCTATAATGTAATCCATCCTCATCAGGCATCTCGACTTTCTCATCGATATGTCAGGGTTTCCCTATGTCTTTTCTAGAAATATTTACTATGCAACTATTCTGATAAGCTTTTTTTTTTCTCTCCGTGGGGCCTCGACTGCATGAATTGAAGCGTGATACTAGATTGGCAGCTCGGTCTCACCGTGTTAATGTTGAACTAGCTACATGCAACCGTCAGTTATATTATAACGGTTTCTTTTCTAACGCTTCTCACCAGTGGAACTCTCTTTCGATTTCTTGCTTCCCTGACATCTACAATCTTCTGTCTACTTGAACCCTATTTTTTTTATTGTTCTTTTCCCTACTAAAGTATTTTCATTCTCTTACGTTCACTGTAACCCCCTGAGTATTAGTGGCATTATCTCCTTACTCTGGGTAAAAAGATTAAAAAAAGTAAAGTCTATATTTTATTACTATGAAAAGGAAGGTATATTCTGGTCTGGGAGTGGGATATTTTATAAACTGTTCCATTTTCTAAACGGGGTATAAAATGATATAACCTAACTTATAACCCGGATATAAAACAGTCTAGCCTAGAATGACCGAAGATATACTCTGTGTTTATTACACCGCACGTTGTTATGCAACAGCTGGCCCTTTTTCTGGTAGATATTCTCTTAAATTCATCATCAGAGCAACGCTATTTTTTTATCACAATTGTTCTAATAAACAGGTAAGAATTGGAACAACTTACGCTTTATGGGTATTGCGATATGCGGGTCGCGTAACAGGTATCGACCCATAAAGCGGGGCTGGCGAGGCTTGTTCGATATTATATGATAATAAATTAGGTTCTTCAAAGATAATTAATCTCGAAGAACTACTACTCAGAATTCAAAACCGTGAAGAAAGAAACTTGAAATGATTTAAAGAATTCAAAGTAATTCACAGATGTATGAATAGTGTAGCGATATCAGGTGACAGCTCATATCTTGTTAAGAACACATCTGCAGGATGTTACCGAAATCGTTTTCACAATAATCCTCTTGACAAAGAAAATCAGGTGACTGATAAAAAAACAAAAAAACAGTTCAAAACGACCCTGACAAAGAAGGTCAGCTGAGTGGAGCTAGAACCTGGGCTTTTGATGGATGACTTTTTTAGACGAAAGCTGGCGAGGACAGAGCAGGCTGGTTTCTCTTAAGACAGTGGTCCCTAGCAATCTAAACCAGAGTACCATTCTCCCTTGACGCGAAAGGAAAGCATATGCGGCTAAGACAGTTCGCCTTCTTACCTCACCTCATTTTTCCTTGTTCGTCTCACTTTTCCTCGCTCGCCTACAGCCGGCACTTACGAGGTGGGAACTGAATAATATTTGTCGACTACTACAATCTCATCTCAGGTTTTTTTTTTCTTAGGTAACGATCCGGTTAAAGAATAATTTTCCTTGCATTAAGCCAGAAGTGTTCGAATGGAAGAAGCTGCACCATAGACAACAGCTTGATAAATTACTACAATATACTAAAATGGATGACAACTCCTTTTAACTAATTATTATACATAGGGACACAGTTAACCATTGAAATATTTAATGCCAACGAAAAAGGTAGACAAAATCATATCGGGAAATGAGAGTTGTCAAAATTAAAAGATGGAACAATGACGAGCGACATATATTTATAAATTATAATATATTTTCCCCCGGAAAACTAGGCTAAAAATAACTGTTTCTTTTTTTTTTATTTGCTACTGTATCCTTTCAGGACGTAAGCGGTCATGGATCTCCACAGCTTCCAGTCCTTTGTAGCTGTTTTTTTTTTTTTTTTGTTATCTCTCTTAATCCCTGTTCTGACAAACGTGTAAACAACTTCATTATTTATAATTAAACGTTGCTTTCCTTTATCCCACATGCCCTCAGTATGTCATGTGGGTGTCAAATTCTTCCAGCTTTCTTTCCTCATTATGTGCCCTAGAAATTTTAATTGTCTCTTTTTCATTCTCAGGATAAGTGTTCTTTTTGTTTCCAGTTTCCTTAAAACTTCGTTGTTGCACACATGTTATACCCATGTCATTCTCATCATCCTTCTGCAGAACCACATCTCCCTGGCCTCAAGTCTCTTCTTCATCTGTGAAGAATTCAACGGCGCGAGCTAAAAACAAAGCTCAACAAGTAGCAATATTTTGTATCAAGAGCGTAAATTATACCGGACTCATATCCTGCCGTTTGAAAAAAAAAATGATAATCGAAAGAAAGAAAAGAAAGAAAAAAAAGAAGGAATGAAAGAAAAAGAATAAGTGCTCAAATGTGAAAGAAAGAAAGAAAGAAAGAAAGAAAGAAAGAAAACGTGTCCGAAAGTGAAAAAAGAAACGAAAGAATAAGTGTAAGAAAGAAAGAAAGAAAGAAAGAAAGAAAACGTGTCCGAAAATGAAAAATGAAACGAAATAAAGAAAGAAAGAAAGAAATAAAGAAAGAAAAAAGAAAGAAAAAATGGACGAAAATGAAAGAAAGAAAGAAAGAGTGGACGAAAGTGAAAGAAAGAAAGAAAAGAAAAGAAAGAAAAGAAAAGAAAAGAAACAATAAGCGTCCGAAAATGAAAGAAAGAAAGAAAGAAAGAAAGAAAGAATGGACGAAAATGAAAGAAAGAAAGAAAGAAAGAGTGGACGAAAGTGAAAGAAAGAAAGAAAGAAAAGAAAAGAAAAGAAAAGAAAAGAAAAGAAAAGAAAAGAAACAATAAGCGTCCGAAAATGAAAGAAAGAAAGAAAGAAAGAAAGAAAGAAAGAAAGAAAGAAAGAAAGAAAGAAAAAATGGACGAAAATGAAAGAAAGAAAGAAAGAAAGAAAGAAAGAGTGGACGAAAGTGAAAGAAAGAAAGAAAGAAAAGAAAAGAAAAGAAAAGAAAAGAAAAGAAAAGAAAAGAAACAATAAGCGTCCGAAAATGAAAGAAAGAAAGAAAGAAAGAAAGAAAGAAAGAAAGAAAGAAATGGACGAAAATGAAAGAAAGAAAGAAAGAAAGAGTGGACGAAAGTGAAAGAAAGAAAGAAAGAAAAGAAAAGAAAAGAAAAGAAACAATAAGCGTCCGAAAGTGAAAGAAAGAAAGAAAGAAAGAAAGAAAGAAAAGAAAAGAAAAGAAAACAAAGAATTATTCCGGCTGCATCTCTTCATAACGCAGGAAGAGACCAAATCCTGTGGGCATTTCTATGGTCGCAAGTTAGCGATGATTAGACCGAATGTCGACTACGCCATCAATGCCGGCACTTAACAGCTGCTAGTTCATATCGTCTATCAACGCCACAGACAATAAAATATGGTTGAGATGTGATTTACATTAAGCGTGAGTGAATATCGAAAGTGCCTTAATTATTTAATGCTAATCGATGTTCGCTATCACTGGGGGGAGGTCGGGGGGGGCGACGTAGTTAACGATGGTCGCACGTAAACGGCGGGTTTCAAGTTAACGAGACCATTATCCGTAGATAGGTCGATACTTATTTATTTCGCAAAATAAAATCTTGCTTTTAAAATCGAATATGGTTAACGCTCAATCAGTTCGTGTGAAAGTACCTACAGTCACCTTCTACGAGGCCATCGGATTTCAGTCTCAATGTTTCAACTAAGGGAATCCGCAGCTGAACTGATGGATCACATTTTGGATCCACTGCCAGGTCAGCTGCTAAGAAAGTCGGTTCACTGTCTCGTGCGAGACAATTTTTCTCTGCAGAATCTATTTTACATATCTATAAGTCTACCATTCGTCCGTGCTTAGAATATTGCTGCCACATATGGCCCAAGTACCTCTGAGATACTTGATAAAGTCCAAAGATGAATCAGCAATATTATTGGTCCTGATCTGGAGGCTCGGCTTCAGTCACTTTTCCCCCACCTTAAGATTGCTTTTTCTATAAATCCTTTCCTGGTAATTGTTCGAATGAGCTCTTCGCTATTGTGAATACACATTAGGGTTTAGATTTTTTTAAGTAGTTGTTTTATTCCCCTACTCCATAGACAATGAATTGTACATATGGAAACTAGTTTAGACTTTCATAGAGACTCTGAGGTATTATGGTGATTGTACTAAGAATGGTATATAAGAATGCGTTATTTTGGTGTTAGGAATATTATGGCATGTTTGGGTCAGTGATTGTTGCTAGCTAAGTTTAAGTTTAGGAGAGAAGAATACCATACTTTTTCCCACTCCCCATTTTTGGCCTTGTGCCACATTTTGTAAATATTTACAATATCGCTCTTCACTATGTTACATAGACTTTTTAAATTTAAGCGCTATCCTAGACTGCCGTGGCGTCAATATCGCATCAATTTACAGCAGAGCTGGCTAGTTGAAGCCGTAAATTCTACTCTAACAGTTTCTTTTCTCGTACTTGTCGCATGTGGAACTCTCTTCCGGCTCCATGCTTTCCAGCCAACTTTAATTTCCCAAATTTCCTATTTACTGTTCTCCTGATTACTCTTTTCTCTTCCCGTTCATTAGTAATGTTTCCGTTCTTAAATCTTCCACACACAGTAAACCCTTGTGTCTTAGTGGCTTTATTGCCTTGCATGGGTGATACCAATTAAAAAAGTTATCGAGGCAAAAAACGATGACGGAAACCAACGAATATTGATCACGCTATTTACATTATTCGGACTATTGTCCTCATCTTTGTCGCCATATTTATTACAACGTTTCGGCCGTTGTATGCTCCGGCCTTCTTCAGGTGGTTGGAATGTCGAACTGAACCCTTTATTTCGCTCACTGGGGTAGACTGTTCTAGTTCCACGTGCCATATCTAATGGATGTCAGTTATCAGTTATCTCCTGTTAATTTCCCTCTGAAAGTTCTCCACTGCCTTAACCGGGTATTGAACTCACACACTTTGGGTCCTGTTACTGGATCTAACTAACTCAATGGATCTAACTCAAGGACACATGGCACAGTGGTTAACGGCGTTGGTTAGATCCAGTGACAAGACCCAAAGAGTGTGAGTTCAATACCCGGTTAAGGCAGCGGAGAACTTGGAGAGGGAAATTAACAGGAGATAACTGACATCCATTAGATATGACACGTGGAACTAGAACAGTCTACCCCAGTGAGCGAAATAAAGGGTTCAGTTCAACATCCCAACCACCTGAAGAAGGCCGGAGCATACAACGGCCGAAACGTTGTAATAAATATGGCGACAAAGATGAGGACAATAGTCCGAATAATGTAAATAGTGTACATAATACCTCATCTCAGAAATATAGACAGATACTGAATATTGATTAGTGGTAAAAGGGGTTCGAATCCTGCCTAAAATCAACAAACAATGCCTACTGTGCTGAATAATTCCAGAGATTCGACAGCGCAGATGGCAATAGACTTTACATTCATGTTTAATCCATTAAGGATCATCATAAAAATTAGGTATTAATTTTAAAATAAACACACAGAAGGAATTATGAAAATTAAAATAAAACTCGGTATTAATAAAAAAAAAAAAAATACGAATAAAAATCTGCTATTTATTAAAAAATAAAATTAAAATTAAAATCTTGCATAAATTTCAAAAAATTAAAATAAATCCTGCATTAGTTATAATAAATAAAAACCCATTAGTAATCACAAAAATTATAATAAACACAAAATAAAAATCTGTAATTAATCATGAAAAATTAAACATAAATCCCGGTATTAATGATAGCAGTAAATATTAAAATCCGTAATTAATTATTAAATTTAGAATTAAAATACTGAATTAAGTATAAAAATCAAGATAAAAAAATTCGAAATTAATTATAAAAATTAAAACAAAAAACTTCATTAAATATGCAAAAATTAAAATAAAAATCCGAAATTAATTATAAAATAAAAATTAAAATCACACACTAATTAAAAAAAAAAACGGTTTTAGTTACAAAAATTATAATAAAAAGCTATTATTAATCATGCAAATGATAATAAGTGTCGTATTAAATAGAAAAATAAAAATAAATGTCCTGTATATATTTCAAAAATTATTTTAAAAATTCAGCAATCCTATATTACTTACGAAAATAAAAATAAAAATCTTTTATTCATTTTAAAAATAAAAATCCGTTATTAATTATTCATTATAAAAATTCCTGTATTAATTATAGGTTTAAAAATCCGTTGTGTCTTTTTATTTGTTTATAAAATGTCCCCATTAAGGATTCTACAAAAGATCCAGTTTAATAGTTTCTGCCTATAACACATTAATGCCCCCTATCACGTTCCCATTTTTTCATTCTCTTTATTTCGGAGCGAAATCTTTGCTTTTTCTGATAAACTCCTAAATGTAGCCGTCTCTTCTACTCCAATAGCTTCATGTCTCGCACCTCTCGCCTGTGGAACTCCCTTCCCTATTCCAGTTTCCCTGAGAGCTATAATCTCCAGCTATTCAAATGTAATGTCAATCGACATCTCCAGTTGCCTTGATCTATCCACTATCCTTCTCCTCATCCTTTCTTCTATCACTCATATCTGATCTTGCTCCAAATCTTCTGTAACCCCTTGCGTCCTAGTGGTTTCCCGCCTTGCTTGGGGTGAAACGCTTAAAAAAAAAAAAAAAAAAAAAAAGGTTCGAAAACTAGGGTTGGAAAATACAAGTCACAAAAAAGTATAATGTTATTTTACTACGGCTTATTAGAATTGTATATCTAAGATGCCCATTTTTTTTTTTTTTTTTTGCCATTGATTGTAAGCTTGAATGTTGTCAAGTTCCTCACCCCATTTTAGAGAGCATATCAACCATTTCCTGAAATTTAGACCCAATAAACATAAGAAAATCCAAGCCAGAACGGAAGTAGAAACAACCTGGAATAGCAGACTATAAAAAAGAAAAGAAAAAAAAAAACGATAGATATCCTCTCTGGTATAAGGTCACCAGAGGAGATATATTAAATACTAGATAAGGAATGTCTCCGTGGAGTGAGGAAATTGAAGAAAGCACTAGATGCGTAAATCAGACCAATGTGGATGTTAGTGTTTCCATTGATCAGACAGGAGGGAACTGAAAGTTACTAGCCTGTATAAAGTAGAATCACCTGTATTACATGGGTTGCTAAGAATGGGTCTGCATGCCCGACTCGCACTGGTGAGAATGAATCGAGCCGGTTGGCACATTAACCACCATTTTCTATTAGCCGTGTATTTCTGCCAAAAAGAAATACCTCTGAAGAAAGTACTAGAATGGTCTGGAATAACGACATAAGTAAGACAAAGAATGAATTCAGTAATTCAGACAACAATTGGTAAGATGCTTTCTCATTTCAGAATTAGGAATAAAGAATTCTATTGAAATGAAATTCTATTCAAATGTGGAATCGTTTGGACAAATGAAGACTTCCTTTATATCGCGTTTATTGTTGAGTCGACCCATTCTAATCTATATACAAGTAAAGAATCAAATGTTCTGTAGACTGCAGGCCAAGTTAAGAGAACACGGCAGGTGCTGGAGGGTTTCCCACTTCGACTCTTTAAGCTTTTGAAAGGTCTCTTTTGCAACATGCTGTCTTGTGTTGCCGTGCTGGAAAATGACAACTGTTCAATTTGCCAAAATCGGCTGGTTTTTCTTGGAGAGCCACATTGAGATTTGTGAGTTGGTCGCAATGCTTCTTTGTAGTTTCGCCGGCTGGAAGAAGCTCAAAGCCAATTATCCTTCTGAAATCCCACCAAACGGACATCAACACCTTCATAGAATGCAAACTCGTTTTAGCCACAAGGTTCAGCACATTCGAAAGCTTGTTTGCAGTTCCGTTCGCGTCGAACATTGTCATAAACGATCCATTTTTCATCGCATGTCACAATTCTGTCCAAGAAGCGCTTCTTATTATGGCGTAAGAGTAAAGAAATCACCCCAGAAAGACGATCAAGCACCCAGCTGTCCAGTTTGGAAAACGAACCCAAGTCTCTTCAAATGGTGAAAGGAAGCTGAGATATCGATTTTCAAACGCTTATCAATCTCTTCCGTCGATATCTTTGGTTTATTCTCCATGATGGTAAGCAGATCGTCTTCGTCAACGTCGGAAATTCACCCAGAGCGTGTTTGACCGTTTCGGTTGATGAAATCTGCCAAATCCCTTTTTGACTTTCCGAAGGGCTGGAACACGATCCAAATAAACCTTCGGAATGTCGTTTGTCACGGATTATTCCATTCCGAAATTCA